CTTCCCTTATCTCTCTGGCCTTCCCTTATCTCTCTGGCCTTCCTTATCTCTCTGGTCTTCCTTTCCCTTATCTCTCTGGCCTTCCCTTATCTCTGGTCTTCCCTTCCCTTATCTCTCTGGTCTTCCCTTTCCTTATCTCTCTGGCCTTCCCTTATCTCTCTGGTCTTCCTTTTCCCTTATCTCTCTTCCTTCCCTTATCTCTCTGGTCTTTCCTTATCTCTCTGGTCTTCTTTCCTTATCTCTCTGGCCTTCCCTTATCTCTCTGGTCTTCCCTTATCTCTCTGGTCTTCCCTTATCTCTCTGGTCTTCTTTTACCCCCTTAGCTTCTCTCTGGCCTTCCCTTATCTCTCTGGCCTTCCCTTATCTCTCTGGTCTTCCCTTATCTCTCTGGCCTTCCCTTATCTCTCTGGCCTTCCCTTATCTCTCTGGTCTTCCCTTTCCCTTATCTCTCTGGCCTTCCTTATCTCTCTCTTCCCTTCCCTTGTCTCCCTTATCTCTCCCTTTCCCTTATCTCTCTGGCCTTCCCTTATCTCTCTGGCCTTCCTTTCCCTTATCTCTCTGGCCTTCCCTTATCTCTCTGGCCTTCCTTATCTCTCTGGTCTTCCCTTATCTCTCTCTCTTCCCTTCCCTTATCTCTCTGGCCTTCCCTTATCTCTCTGGCCTTCCCTTATCTCTCTGGTCTTCCCTTTCTCTCTGGCCTTCCCTTCCCCTTATCTCTCTGGCCTTCCCTTATCTCTCTGGCCTTCCCTTTCCCTTATCTCTCATCCCCCTTCCCTTATCTCTCTGGCCTTCCCTTGTCTCTCTGGCCTTCCCTTATCTCTCTGGTCTTCCCTTATCTCTTGTCTTCCCTTTCCCTTATCTCTCTGGGCCTTCCTTATCTCTCTGGCCTTCCCTTATCTCTCTGGTCTTCCCTTTTCCCTTATCTCTCTGGTCTTCCCTTTCCCTTATCTCTCTCTTCCTTCTTTCCCTTATCTCTCTGGCCTTCCCTTATCTCTCTGGTCTTCCCTTCTCTCTGGTCTTCCCTTATCTCTCTGGTCTTCCCTTATCTCTCTGGCCTTCCCTTCCCTTATCTCTCTGGCCTCCTTATCTCTCTGGTCTTCCCCTTCCTTATCTCTCTGGCCCTTCTCCTTATCTCTCTGGTCTTCCCTTTCCCTTATCTCTCTGGCCTTCCCTTTTTCTCTCTCTCCTTCCCTTTCCCTTATCTCTCTGGTCTTCCCATTCCCTTATCTCTCTGCCTTCCTTATCTCTTCCTTCCTTATCTCTAGCCTGGTCTTTCCCTTATCTCTCTGGCCTTCCCTTATCTCTCTGGTTTCCCTCTCTCCTTTCCCTTATCTCTCTGGCCTTCCTTTTCCCTTGTCTCTCTGGCCTTCCCTTATCTCTCTGGTCTTCCCTTCCCTTATCTCTCTGGTCTTCCCTTATCTCTGGCCTTCCTTTTCCCTTATCTCTCTGGCCTTCCCTTATCTCTCTGGTCTTCCCTTATCTCTCTGGTCTTCCTTTCCTTATCTCCTTTCCCTTATCTCTCTGGCCTTCCTTCCCTCTCTGGTTTTCCCTTATCTCTCTGGCCTTCCCTTATCTCTGGTCTTCCCCTTTTTCCCTTATCTCTCTGGCCTTCCCTTATCTCTCTGGCCTTCCCTTATCTCTTGGCCTTCCTTATCTCTCTGGCCTTCCCTTTCTCTCTGGCCTTCCCTTATCTCTCCTGGTTTTCCCTTATCTCTCTGGCCTTCTCTCTTTCCCTTTCCTTATCTCTCTGGCCTTCCTTCCTCTCTGGCCTTCCTTTATCTCTCTGGTCCTTCCCTTTCTCTCTGGCCTTCCCTTATCTCTCTGGTCTTCCCTTATCTCTCTGGTCTTCCCTTTCCCTTATCTCTCTGGCATTCCCTTATCTCTCTGGTCTTTTTCCCTTATCTCTCTTCCTTCTCTCTCTTATCTCTCTGGCCTTCCCTTATCTCTCTGGCCTTCCCTTAAATCTCTGGTCTTCATTTATATCTCTGGCCTTCCCTTATCTCACTGATCTTCCCTTATCTCTCTGGCCTTCCCTTTCCCTTATCTCTCTGGCCTTCCCTTATCTCTGGCCTTCCCTTATCTCTCTGGCCTTCCCTTATCTCTCTGGTCTTCCCTTTCCCTTATCTCTCTGGCCTTCCCTTATCTCTCTGGCCTTCCCCTTATCTCTCTGGCCTTCCCTTATCTCTCCCTTTCCCTTATCTCTCCCTTATCTCTCTGGCCTTCCCTTATCTCTCTGGCCTTCCTTTCCCTTATCTCTCTGGTCTTCCCCTTTCCCTTATCTCTCTGGCCTTCCCTTTATCTCTCTGGTCTTCCCTTATCTCTCTGGCCTTCCCTTATCTCTTTCTTCCTTTATCTCTCTGGTCTTCCCTTATCTCTCTGGCCTTCTTCCCTTATCTCTCTGGCCTTCCCTTATGTCTCCTTTCCCTTATCTCTCTGGTCTTCCCTTTCCTTATCTCCTGGCCTTCCCTTATCTCTCTGGTCTTCCCTTATCTCTCTGGTCTTCCCTTTCCCTTATCTCTCTGGCCTTCCTTATCTCTCTGGCCTTCCCTTCCCTTATCTCTCTGGCCTTCCCTTATCTCTCTGGTCTTCCCTTGTCTCTGGCCTTCCTTATCTCTCTGGCCTTCCCTTATCTCTCTGGCCTTCCCTTATCTCTCTGGTCTTCCCTTTCCCTTATCTCTCTGGCCTTCCTTATCTCTCTGGCCTTCCCTTATCTCTCTGGCCCTTCCCTTATCTCTCTGGCCTTCCTTCCCTTTATCTCTCTGGCCTGGCCTTTCCCTTATCTCTCTGGCCTTCCCTTATCTCTCTGGCCTTCCCTTATCTCTCTCTTTCCTTATCTCTCTGGCCTTCCCTTATCTCTCTGGCCTTCCCTTTCTCTTTAGCCTTCTCTCTGGCCTTCCCTTATTTCTCTGGCCTTCCCTTATCTCCCTCTCTCTTTCCCTTTCCCTTATCTCTCTGGCCTTCCCTTATCTCTCTGGCCTTCCCCTTATCTCTCTGGTCTTCCCTTTCCCTTATCTCTCTGGCCTTCCCTTATCTCTCTCTGGGCCTTCCCTTTCCCTTATCTCTCTGGCCTTCCCTTATCTCTCTGGTCTTCCCTTTCCCTTATCTCTCTGGCCTTCCCTTATCTCTCTGGCCTTCCCTTATCTCTCTGGTCTTCCCTTTCCCTTATCTCTCTGGTCTTCCCTTTCCCTTATCTCTCTGGCCTTCCCTTATCTCTGGCCTTCCCTTATCTCTCTGGTCTTCCCTCATCTCTCTGGTCTTCCCTTTCCCTTATCTCTCTGGCCTTCCTTATCTCTCTGGCCTTCCCTTATCTCTCCTTTGTTATCTCTCTATGGCCTTCCCATTCCTTATCTCTCTGGCCTTCCCTTATCTCTCTGGCCTTCCCTTATCTCTCTGGTCTTCCTTTCCCTTATCTCTGGTCTTCCCTTATCTCTGGCCTTCCCTTATCTCTCTGGTTTCCCTTATCTCTCTGGCCTTCCCTTATCTCTCTGGCCTTCCCTTATCTCTCTGGCCTTCCCTCTCTGGTCCTTTCCCTTATCTCTCTGGCCTTCCCTTATCTCTCTGGTTTTTACCCTTATCTCTGGCCTTCCCTTATCTCTCTGGTCTTCCCTTTTCTCTCTGGCCTTCCCTTATCTCTCTGGGTCTTCCCTTTCCCTTATCTCTCTGGCCTTCCCTTATCTCTCTGGCCTTCCCTTATCTCTCTGGCCTTCCTTTCCCTTATCTCTCTGGCCTTCCTTATCTCTCTGGTCTTCCCTTTCCCTTATATCTCTGGTCTTCCCTTATCTCTCTGGTCTCCCTTATCTCTCTGGCCTTTCCTTATCTCTCTGGTCCCTTTCCCTTATTTCTCTTCCCCTTTCCCTTATCTCTCTGGCCTTCCCTTATCTCTCTGGTCTTCCCTTATCTCTCTGGTCTTCCCTTACCCTTATCTCTCTGGCCTTCCCTTATCTATCTGGCCTTCCCTTATCTCTCTGGTCTTCCCTTATCTCTCTGGTCCTTCCTCATCTCTCTGGCCTTCCTTATCTCTCTGGCCTTCCCTTATCTCTCTGGTCTTCTCATTCCCTTATCTCTCTGGCCTTCCCCTTATCTCTCTGGCCTTATCTCTCTGGTCTTCCCTTTCCCTTATCTCTCTGGCCTTCCCTTATCTCTCTGGCCTTCCCTTATCTCTCTGGTCTTCCCTTATCTCTCTGGCCTTCCCTTATCTCTCTGGCCTTCCCTTATCTCTCTGGCCTTCCCTTATCTCTCTGGCCTTCCCTTTCCCTTATCTCTCTGGCCTTCCCTTATCTCTCTGGCCTTCCCTTATCTCTCTGGCCTTCCCTTATCTCTCTGGCCTTCCCTTATCTCTCTGGTCTTCCCTTATCTCTCTGGTCTTCCCTTATCTCTCTGGCCTTCCCTTATCTCTCTGGCCTTCCCTTATCTCTCTGGCCTTCCCTTATCTCTCTGGTCTTCCCTTTCCTTATCTCTCTGGCCTTCCCTTATCTCTCTGGCCTTCCCTTATCTCTCTGGTCTTCCCTTTCCCTTATCTCTCTGGCCTTCCCTTATCTCTCTGGCCTTCCTTGTCTCTCTTCCCTTATCTCTCTGGCCTTTCCCTTATCTCTCTGGTCTTCCTTTCCCTTATCTCTCTGGTCTTCCCTTATCTCTCTGGCCTTTCCTTATCTCTCTGGTCTTCCCTTTCTCTGGCCTTACATATCTCTCTGGCCTTCCCTTATCTCTCTGTCTTCCTTATCTCTCTGGCCTTTCCTTATCTCTATGGCCTTCCCTTATCTCTCTGGCCTTTCCTTATCTCTCTGGTTTTCCCTTATCTCTCTGGCCTTCCCTTATCCTCTGGCCTTCCTTCCCTTATCTCTCTGGCCTTCCTTTCCTTATCTCTCTGGCCTTCATTTATATCTCTGGCCTTCCCTTATCTCTCTGGCCTTCCCTTATCTCTCTGGTTTCCCTTATCTCTCTTCCTTTTCCCTTATCTCTCTGACCTTCCCTTATCTCTCTCTTCCTTTTCCCTTATCTCTATGGCCTTCCCTTATCTCTCTGGTCTTCCTTATCTCTCTGGCCTTAACTTTCCCTTATCTCTCTGGCCTTCACTTATCTCTCTGGTCTTCCCTTATCTCTCTGGCCTTCACTTAAATCTCTTTTCATTTATATCTCTCTTCCCTTATCTCTCTGGTCTTCCCTTTCTCTCTGACCTTCCTTTCCCTTATCCTCTCTGGCCTTCCCTTATCTCTCTGTCTTCCCTTATCTCTCTGGTCTTCCCTTACCTTTCTCTCTGGCCTTCCCTTGTCTCTCTGGCCTTCCCTTATCTCTCTAGTCTTCCCCTCATCTCTCTGGTCTTCCCTTTCCCTTATCTCTCTGGCATTCCCTTATTTCTCTGGCCTTCCCTTATCTCTCTGGCCTTCATTATCTCTCTGGTCTTCCCTTTCCCTTATCTCTCTGGCCTTCCCTTATCTCTCTGGCCTTCCCTTATCTCTCTGGTCTTCCCTTTCCCTTATCTCTCTGGTCTTCCCTTATCTCTCTGGCCTTCCCTTATCTCTCTGGTCTTCCCTTATCTCTCTGGTCTTCCCTTTCCCTTATCTCTCTGGCCTTCCCTTATCTCTCTGGCCTTCCCTTATCTCTCTGGCCTTCCATTATCTCTCTGGTCTTCCCTTTCCCTTATCTCTCTGGCCTTCCCTTATCTCTCTGGCCTTCCCTTATCTCTCTGGTCTTCCCTTTCCCTTATCTCTCTGGCCTTCCCTTATCTCTCTGGCCTTCCCTTATCTCTCTGGCCTTCCCTTATCTCTCTGGCCTTCCCTTATCTCTCTGGTCTTCCCTTTCCCTTATCTCTCTGGCCTTCCTTATTTCTCCTTCCCCCCTTATCTCTCTGGCCTTCCCTTGTCTCTCTTCCCTTATCTCTTTCCCTTATCTCTCTGGCCCTTCCCTTTCCCTTATCTCTCTGGCCTTCCCCTTATCTCTCTGGCCTTCCCTTATCTCTATGGCCTTCCCTTATCTCTCTGGTCTTCCTTTCTCTTTCTTCCCTTATCTCTCTGGTTTCCCTTATCTCTCTGGCCTTCCTTTATCTCTCTGGCCTTCCCTTTCCCTTATTTCTCTGGCCTTCCCTTAAATCTCCTTCATTTATCTCTCTGGCCTTCCTTGTCTCACTGGCCTTCCCTTATCTCTCTGGCCTTCCCTTTCCCTTATCTCTGGCCTTCCCTTATCTCTCTGGTTCTCTTATCTCTCTGGCCTTCCCTTTCCCTTATCTCTCTGGCCTTCTCTTATCTCTTGGTTTTCCCTTATCTCTCTGGCCTTTCCCTTATCTCTCTGGCCTTCCCTTATCTCTCTGGTCTTCCCTTTCTCTCTCTCTCTGGCCTTTCCCTTTTCCTCTGGCCTTCCCTTGTCTCTCTGGTCTTCCCTTATCTCTCTGGCCTTCCCTTCCCTTATCTCTGGTCTTCCCTTATCTCTCTGGTCTTCCTTTCCTTATCTCTCTGGCCTTCCCTTATCTATCTGGCCCTTATCTCTCTCTTTCCTTTCCCTTATCTCTCTGGCCTTCCCTTATCTCTCTGGCCTTCCCCTTATTCTCTCTGGCCTTCCCTTTCTCTCTGGCCTTCCCTTATCTCTCTGGTCTTCCCTTATCTCTCTGGCCTTCCCCTTCTCTCTGGCCTTCCTTATCTCTCTGTTCTTCCCTTATCTCTCTGGTTTCCCTTATCTCTCTGGCCTTCCCTTATCTCTCTGGCCTTCCCTTATCTCTATGGTATCTCCTGGCCTTCCCTTATCTCTCTGGCCTTCCCTTATCTCTCTGGCCTTCCCTTGTCTCTCTGGCCTTCCTTTATCTCTCTGGCCTTCCCTTATCTCTCTGGCCTTCCCTTATCTCTCTGGCCTTCCCTTATTCCCCTTGTCTCTCTGGCCTTCCCTCTCTCTGGCCTTCCCTTATCTCTCTAGTCTTCCCTTATCTCTCTTGCCTTCTCCTTTCCCTTATCTCTGGCCTTCCCTTATCTCTCTGGCCTTCCTTATCTCTTGTCTCTTCCCTTTCCCTTATCTCTCTGGCCTTCCTTTTCCCTTATCTCCCTGGCCTTCCCTTTTCTCTCTGGTCTTCCCTTATCTCTCTGGTCTTCCCTTCCCTTATTCTCTCTGGCCTTCCCTTTCTCTCTTATCTCTCTGGCCTTCCTTTTATCTCTGGTCTTCCTTTCCTTATCTCTCTGGCCTTCCTTATCTCTCTGGCCTTCCCTGGTCTTCCCTTATCTCTCTGGCCTTCCCTTATCTCTGGTTTTTGGCCTTCCCTTATCTCTCTGGTCTTCCCTTTTCTCTCTGGCCTTCCCCTTTCCTTATCTCTGGTCTTCCCTTATCTCTCTGGTCTTCCCCTTTCCCTTATCTCTCTGGCCTTCCCTTATCTCTCTGGTCTTCCCTTATCTCTCTGTCTTCCCTTTCCCTCTGGCCTTCCCTTAGGCTTTCTCTCTGGTCTGGCCTTCCTTATCTCTGGTCTTCCTTTATCTCTCTTCCCTTCCCTTGTCTCTCTGGTCTTCCCTTATCTCTGGCCTTCCCTTATCTCTGGTCTTCCTTTCCCTTATCTCTCTGGCCTTCCTTTTCTCTCAGGCCTTCCCTTATCTCTCTGGCCTTCCCTTATCTCTCTGGCCTTCCTTATCTCTCTGGTCTTCCCTTATCTTTCCCTTATCTCTCTGGTTTCCCTTGTCTCTCTGGCCTTCCCTTATCTCTCTGGCCTTCCCTTTCCCTTATCTCTCTGGCCTTCCCTTGTCTCTCCCTTCCCTTATCTCTGGCCTTCCCTTATCTCTCTGGCCTTCCTTTTATATCTCTGGCCTCTCCCTGGTCTTCCCTTTCCCTTATCTCTCTGGCCTTCCCTTTCCCTTATCTCTCTGGCCTTCCCTTATCTCTCTGGCCTTCCCTTATCTCTCTGGTCTTCCCTTTCCCTTATCTCTCTGGCCTTCCCTTATCTCTCTGGCCTTCCCTTTCCCTATCTCTTTGGCTCTTCCCTTATCTCTCTGGTCTTCCCTTTCCCTTATCTCTGGCCTTCCCTCTCTGTCTTCCTTTCTCTCTGGCCTTCCCTTATCTCTCCCTTGTCTCTCTGGTCTTCCTTCCCTTATCTCTCTGGCCTTCCTTATCTCTCTGGTCTTCCCTTTCCTTATCTCTCTGGCATTTCCCTTCCCTTATCTCTCTTGCCTTCCCTTATCTCTCTGGTCTTCCCTTATCTCTCTGGCCTTCCCTTATCTCTCTGGCCTTCCCTTATCTCTCTGGTCTTCCCTTATCTCTCTGGTCTTCCCTTTCCCTTATCTCTCTGGTCTTCCCTTCTTTTTATCTCTCTCTCTTCCTTTCCCTTATCTTTCTGGCCTTCCCTTATCTCTCTCCCCAGCCTTCCCTTTCTTCTCTATGTTTTTTGGCCTTCCCTTATCTCTCTGGCCTTCCTTATCTCCTGGCCTTCCCTTATCTCTCTGGCCTTCCCTTATCTCTCTGGTCTTCCTTTCCCTTATCTCTCTGCCCTTCCCTTATCTCTCTGGTCTTCCCTTTCCCTTATCACTCTGGCCTTACCTTATCTCTCTGGCCTTCCCTTTCCCCGGTCTTCCCTTTCCCTTATCTCTCTGGCGTTCCCTTATCTCTCTGGTCTTCCCTTATCTCTCTGGCCTTCCCTTATCTCTCCCTTATCTCTCTGGTCTTCCCTTTCCCTTATCTCTCTGGCATTCCCTTATCTCTCTGGCCTTCCCTTATCTCTCTGGCCTTCCCTTATCTCTCTGGTCTTCCCTTCCCTTATCTCTCTGGTCTTCCTTTCCCTATCTCACTTTTCCCTTATCTCTCTGGCCTTCCCTTATCTCTCTGGCCTTCCCTTCCCTTTTCCTTACCTCTCTAGTCTTCCCTTTCCCTTCTCTCTCTGGCCTTCCCTTATCTCTCTGGTCTTCCCTTATCTCTCTCTTCCCATTCCCTTATCTCTCTGGCCTTCCTTTCTCTCTGGTCTTCCCTTTCCCTTATCTCTCTGGCCTTCCCTTGTCTCTCTTCTCTTCCCCTTTCCCTTATCTCTCTGGCCTTCCCTTATCTCTCTGGCCTTCCCTTTTCCCTGGCATTCCTTCTCTCTGGCCTTCCTTATCTCTCTGGTCTTCCCTTGTCTCTTATCTCTCTTCTTCCCTTATCTCTCTGGCCTTCCCTTATCTCTCTGGACTTCCCTTTCCCTTATCTCTCTCTGGCCTTCCATTATCTCTCCCTTTCCCTTATCTCTCTGGCCTTCCCTTATCTCTCTGGTCTTCCCTTTCCCTTATCTCTCTGGCCTTATCTTTTTCCTTATCTCTCTGGTCTTCCCTTTCTTCATCTCCTTCCCTTATCTCTCTGGTCTTGTTCCCTTATCTCTCTGGTCTTCCCTTTATCTCTCTGGCCTTCTTATCTCTCTGGTCCTTATCTCTCTGGTCCCTTTCCCTTATACTGGTCTTCCCTTTCCCTTATCTCTCTGGCTTCCCCCTTCTCTCTGGCCTTCCCTTATCTCTCTGGCCTTCCCTTATCTCTCTGGTCTTCCCTTTCCTTATCTCTCTGGCCTTCCCTTTTCTCTCTCTATCTCTCTGGTCTTCCCTTATCTCTCTAGCATTCTTTTTCCCTTATCTCTCCCTTATCTCTCTTATCTTCTGGCCTGGTCTTTTCTCTGGTCTTCTCTGGCCTTCCCTTATCTCTCTGGTCTTCCCTTTTTCTCTCTGGCATTCCTTATCTCTCTGTCTTCCCGTTATCTCCTGGTCTTCCCTTATCTCTCTCCCTTTCTTCCTTATCTCTCTGGCCTTCCCTTTTCCCTCTCTCTCTTCCCCTTTTCCCTTGTCTCTCTGGCCTTCTTTTCCCTTATCTCTCTGTCTTCCCTTATCTCTCTGGCCTTCCCTTATCTCTCTGGTCTTCCCTTTCCCTTATCTCTCTGGCCTTCCTTTATCTCTCTGGCCTTCCCTTTCCCTTATCTCTCTGGCATTCCCTTTTCTCTCTGGCCTTCCCTTATCTCTCTGGTCTTCCCTTTCCCTTATCTCTCTGGCATTCCCTTATCTCTCTGGCCTTCCCTTTCCCTTATCTCTCCTTTTCCTTATCTCTCTGGCCTTCTTCTCTCTTTCCCCTTATCTCTCTGGCCTTCCCTTTCCCTTATCTCTCTGGCCTTCCCTTATCTCTCTGGCCTTCCCTTTCCCTTATCTCTCTGGCCTTCCCTTATCTCTCTGGTCTTCCCTTTCCCTTATCTCTCTGGCCTTCCCTTATCTCTTCCCTTATCTCTCTGGTCTTCCTTCCCTTATCTCTCTGGTCTTCCCTTTATCTCTCTGGCTTATCTTCCCTTCCCTTATCTCTCTGGCCTTCCCTTATCTCTCTGGTCTTCTTCTTCTCTCTGGTCTTCTTTTTTCCCTTATCTCTCTGGCCTTCCCTTATCTCTCTGGCCTTCCCTTATCTCTCTGGTCTTCCCTTTCCCTTATCTCTCTGGCCTTCCCTTATCTCTCTGGCCTTCCCTTATCTCTCTGGCCTTCCCTTATCTCTCTGGTCTTCCCTTTCCCTTATCTCTTTGGCCTTCCCTTATCTCTCTGCCTTCCCTTATCTCTGGTCTTCCTTTTCCCTTATCTCTGGTCTTCCCCTTATCTCTCTGGCCTTATCTCTCTGGCCTTCCCCTTTCCCTTATCTCTCCCCTTATCTCTCTGGCCTTCCCTTATCTCTCTGGCCTTCTTCCCTTATCTCTCTGGTCTTCCCTTATCTCTCTGGCCTTCCCTTTCCCTTATCTCTCTGGCCTTCCCTTATCTCTCTGGTCTTCCCTTTCCCTTATCTCTCTGGCCTTCTTTTTCCCTTATCTCTCTGGCCTTCCCTTATCTCTCTGGTCTTCTCCTTTTCCCTTATCTCTCTGGCCTTCCCCTTATCTCTCTGGTCTTCCCTTTCCCTTATCTCTCTGGCCTTCCCTTATCTCTCTATTCTTCCCTTCCCTTATCTCTCTGGCCTTCCCTTCCCTTTCCCTTTCCCTTATCTCTGGCCTTCCCTTATCTCTCTGGTCTTCCCTTCCCTTATCTCTCTGGCCTTCCCTTATCTCTCTGGTCTTCCCTTTCCCTTATCTCTCTGGCCTTCCCCCTTATCTCTGCCTTCCCTTATCTCTCCAGTTTCCCTTATCTCTCTGGCCTTCCCTTATCTCTCTCCCTTTCCCTTATCTCTCTGGCCTTCCCCTTATCTCTCTTCCCTCTCTCCCTTCCCTTATCTCTCTGGTCTTCCCTTCCTTATCTCTCTGGTCTTCCTTTCCCTTATCTCTGGTCTTCCCTTTCTCCTTATCTCTCTGGCCTTTCCTTATCTCTCTGGCCTTCCCTTATCTCTCTGGCCTTCCCTTTTATCTCTGGTCTTCCCTTCCCTTGTCTCTCTGGCCTTCCCTTATCTCTCTGGCCTCTCCCTTTCCCTTATCTCTCTGGCCTTCCCTTATCTCTCTGGCCTTCCCTTATCTCTCCCTTCCCTTATCTCTGGCCTTCCCTATCTCTCTGGTCTTCCCTTCCCTTATCTCTCTGGCCTTCCCTTATCTCTCCTTCCTTCCTCTCTGGTCTTCCCTTATCTCTCTGGCCTTCCCTTATCTCTCTGGCCTTCCCGCTTATCTCTCTGTCCTTCCCTTATCTTTCTTCTTATCTCTCTGGCCTTCCCTTATCTCTCTGGTCTTCCCTTTCCCTTATCTCTCTGGCCTTCCCTTATCTCTCTGGTCTCTCTGGCCTTCCCTTTCCCTTATCTCTCATTTCTCTCTGGCCTTCCTTTCCCTTATCTCTCTGGCCTTTCCCTTATCTCTCTGGCCTTCCCTTATCTCTCTGGCCTTCCCTTGTCTTCTGGTCTTCCTTATCTCTCTGGCCTTTTTATCTCTCTGGTCTTCCCTTTCCCTTATCTCTCTGGCCTTCCCTTCTCTCTGGCCTTCCCTTTCCCTTATCTCTCTGGCCTTCCCTTATCTCTCTGGCCTTCCCTTATCTCTCTGGTCTTCCCTTTCCCTTATCTCTCTCTGGCCTTCCTTATCTCTCTGGCCTTCCTTCCCTTATCTCTGGCCTTAAACTTCTCTCTGGTCTTCCCTCTCTGGCCTCCCCTTTCCTTCTTATCTCTCTGGCCCTTCCTTCCCTTATCTCTCTTCCCTTTCCCTTATCTCTCTGGCCTTCCCTTATCTCTCTGCTCTTCCCTTATCTCTCTGGTCTTCCCTTATCTCTCTGGCCCCTTTCCCTTATCTCTCTGGCCTTCCCTTATCTCTGGCCTTCCCTTCCCTTTCCCTTATCTCTCTGGTCTTCCCTTCTCTCTCTTTCCCTCCTTCCCTTATCTCTCTGGTCTTATCCCTTATCTCTCTGGCCTTCCCCTTATCTCTCTGGCCTTCCCTTTCCCTTATCTCTGGCCTTCCCTTATCTCTCTGGCCTTCCTTATCTCTCTGGCCTTCCCTTCCCTCTGTCTCTGGCCTTCCTTATCTCTCTGGCCTTCCCTTATCTCTCTGGTCTTCCCTTTCCCTTATCTCTCTGGTCTTCCCTTATCTCTCTGGCCTTTCCCTTATCTCTCTGGCCTTTATCTCTCTGGCCTTCCCTTATCTCTCTGGTCTTCCCTTCCCTTATCTCTCTCCTCCCCTTATCTCTCTGGCCTTCCCCTTATCTCTCTGGCCTTCCCTTATCTCTCTCCTTTCCCTCTCTCTTTTTCCTTTCTCTCTGGTCTTCCCTTATCTCTCTGGTCTTCCCTTATCTCTCTGGCCTTCCCTTATCTCTGGTCTTCCCTCCCTATCTCTCTGGCCTTCCCTTATCTCTCTGGCCTTCCCTTCTCTCTCTGGTCTTCCCTTATCTCTTTTCCCTTATGTCTCTGGCCTTTCCTTATCTCTCTGGCCTCCTTATCTCTCTGGTCTTCCCTTTCCCTTATCTCTCTGGCCTTCCCTTATCTCTCTGGTCTTCCCTTTCTTTTATCTCTCTGGCCTTCCCTTATCTCTCTGGCCTTCCCTTATCTCTCTGGTCATTATCTCTTTTGCCTTCCCTTATCTCTCTATCTCTCTGGCCTTCCCTTATCTCTCTGGCCTTCCCTTTTCCCTTGGTCTCTCTCTGTCCTTATCTCTCTCTCTGGCTTTTCCCTTATCTCTCTGGCCTTCCCTTATCTCTCTCCCTTCCCTTATCTCTCTCTCTATCTCTCTGGCCTTTCCTTTCTCTCTCTGGCCTTCCCTTATCTCTCTGTCCTTCCCTTTCTCTTTATCTCTCTGGCCTTCCCTTATCTCTCTGGCCTTCCCTTATCTCTCTGGTCTTCCCTTATCTCTCTGGCCTTCCCTTTCTCTCTGGTCTTCCCTTATCTCTCTGGTCTTCCCTTTATCTCTCTGGCCTTCCCTTTCCTTATCTCTCTGGTCTTCCCTTTCCTTATCTCTCTCTCTCTCTCTGGCCCTTATCTCTCTGGTCTTCCCTTATCTCTCTCTTCCCTTCCCTTATCTCTCTGGCATTCCCTTATCTCTCTGGCCTTCCCCCTTATCTCTCTGGTCTTCCCTTATCTCTCTGGCCTTCCCTTATCTCTCTGGTCTTCCCTTTCCCTTATCTCTCTGGCCTTCCCTTATCTCTCTGGCCTTCCCTCTTCCCCTTATCTCTCTGGCCTTCCCTTATCTCTCTTCCCTGGTCTTCCCTTTCCCTTATCTCTCTGGCCTTCCCTTATCTCTCTGGCCTTCCCTTATCTCTCTGGCCTTCCCTTATCTCTCTGGTCTTCCTGGCCTTCCTTTCCTTCCCTTATCTCTCTGGCCTTTCCCTTATCTCTGGCCTGGCCTTCTCCTTTCCCTTTCTCTCTGGCCTTCTCTCTGGCCTTCCCTTATCTCTCTGGTCTTCCCTTTCCCTTATCTCTCTGGCCTTCCCTTATCTCTCTGGCCTTCCCTTTCCCTTATCTCTCTGGTCTTCCCTTATCTCTCTGGTCTTCCCTTTCTTTCTCTGGCTTTCCCTTATCTCTCTGGCCTTCCCTTTTTCCTTATCTCTCTGGTCTTCCCTTATCTCTCTCTGGCCTTCCCTTTCCCTTATCTCTCTGGCCTTTCCTTATCTCTCTGGTCTTCCTTTTTCCCTTATCTCTCTGGCCTTCCCTTATCTCTCTGGCCTTCCCTTCCCTTCCCTTATCTCTCTGGCCTTCCCTTATCTCTCCTTATTCTCTCTCTCTCTCTTCCCTTCCCTTATCTCTCTGGCCTTCCCTTCCCTTATCTCTCTGGTCTTCCTTTATCTCTCTGGTCTTCTCTCTTTCCCTTATCTCTCTCTTCTTCCCTTTTCCCTTATTATCTCTCTGGCCTTCCCTTATCTCTCTGGCCTTCCCTTTCCCTTATCTCTCTGGCCTTCCCTTATCTCTCTGGCCTTCCCTTATCTCTCTGGTCTTCCCTTTCCCTTATCTCTCTGGCCTTCCCTTATCTCTCTGGCCTTCCCTTATCTCTCTGGTCTTCCCTTTCCCTTATCTCTCTGGCCTTCCCTTATCTCTCTGGTCTTCCCTTTCCCTTATCTCTCTGGCCTTCCCTTATCTCTCTGGTCTTCCCTTTCCCTTATCTCTCTGGTCTTCCCTTTCCCTTATCTCTCTGGCCTTCCCTTATCTCTCTGGCCTTCCCTTTCCTTATCTCTCTGGCCTTCCCTTATCTCTCTGGCCTTCCCTTTCCCTCTGTTCTTCGTTTCCCTTATCTCTCTGCCCTTCCCTTTCCCTTATCTCTCTGGCTCCCTTATCTCTCTGGCCTTCCCTTATCTCTCTCTTCCCTTTTCCCTTATCTCTCTGGCCTTCCCTTATCTCTCTCTGGTCTTCCCTTGTCTCTCTGGCCTTCCCTTTCTCTCTCTCTGGCCTTCCCTTATCTCTCTTCTTCCCTTTCCCTTATCTCTCTGGCCTTCCCTTATCTCTCTGTCCCTTCCCTTTCCTTATCTCTCTGGCCTTCCCTTATCTCTCTGGCCTTCCCTTATCTCTTGTCTTCCCTTTATCTCTCTTCCCTTCCCTCTCTCTTGGCCTTCCTTATCTCTCTGGCCTTCCCTTTCCTTATCTCTCTGGCCTTCCCTTATCTCTCTGGCCTTCCCTCCCCTTCTCTCTCTCTATCTCCTTCCCCTTATCTCTCTCTCCCTTGTCCTTCCCTTCCCTTATCTCTCTGGTCTCTTCCTTCCCTTTATCTCTCTGGCCTTCCTTTTCTCTCTTATCTCTCTGTCCTTCCCTTTCTCTTATCTCTCTGGCCTTCCCCTTATCTCTCTGGTCTTCTATCTCTCTCTTCCCTTTCTTCCCTTATCTCTCCTTCCCCCTTTCCCTTATCTCTCTGGCCTTCCCTTATCTCTCTGGCCTTCCCTTATCTCTCTGTCCTTCTCTCTCTGGCCTTCCTTTCTCTCTTCTTCTCTCTCTGGCCTTCTCCTTATCTCTCTGGCCTTCCCTTATCTCTCTGGTCTTCCCTTTCCCTTATCTCTCTGGCCTTCCCTTATCTCTCTCTTCCCTTCCCTTATCTCTCTGGCCTTCCCTCTCTAGCCTTCCCTTTCTCTCTGGCCTTCCCTTATCTCTCTGGTCTTCCTTCCCTTCTCTGGCCTTCCCTTATCTCTCTGGCCTTCCCTTATCTCTATGGCCTTCCCTTATCTCTCTGGCCTTCCCTTATCTCTCTGGCCTTCCCTTATCTCTCTGGCCTTCCCTTTCCCTGGCCTTCTTATCTCTCTGGCCTTCCTTATCTCTCTGGTCTTCCCTTTCCCTTTTCCCTTTTCCATATCTCTCTGGCCTTCCCTTATCTCTCTCTGGCCTTCCCTTTCCCTTATCTCTCTGGCCTTCCCTTATCTCTCTGGTCTTCCCTTTCCCTTATCTCTCTGGCCTTCCCTTTCCCTTATCTCTCTGGCCTTCCCTTATCTCTCTGGCCTTCCCTTATCTTTCCTTTCCCTTATCTCTCTGGCCTTCCCTTATCTCTTTCTTCCTTATCTCTGGCCTTCCTTATCTCTCTGGCCTTCCCCTTATCTCTCTGGCCTCTCTCTGGCCTTATCTCTCTTGCCTTCCCTTATCTCTTTGGCATTCCCTTATCTCTCTGCTCTTCCCTTATCACTCTGGCCTTCCCTTATCTCTCTGGCCTTCCCTTATCTCTCTGGCCTTCCCTTATCTCTCTGGCCTTCCCTTTCCCTTATCTCTCTGGCCTTCCCTTATCTCTCTTGCCTTCCCTTATCTCTTTGGCATTCCCTTATCTCTCTGCTCTTCCCTTATCTCTCTGCTCTTCCCTTATCACTCTGACCTTCCCTTATCTCTCTGGCCTTCCCTTATCTCTCTGGTCTTCCCTTTCCCTTATCTCTTTGGTCTTCCCTTATCTCTTTGGCCTTCCCTTATCTCTCTGGCCTTCCCTTATCTCTCTGGCCTTCCCTTTCCCTTATCTCTTTGGCTTTCCCTAATCTTTTTGGCCTTCCCTTATCTCTCTGGTCTTCCCTTATCACTCTGGCCTTCCCTTATCTCTCTGGTCTTCCCTTATCTCTCTGGCCTTCCCTTATCTCTCTGGCCTTCCCTTATCTCTCTGGCCTTCCCTTTCCCTTATCTCTTTGGTCTTCCCTTATCTCTTTGGCCTTCCCTTTCCCTTATCTCTTTGACTTTCCCTTATCTCTTTGGCCTTCCCTTATCTCTCTGGCCTTCCCGTGTCTTTCTTGCCCTCAGAATGTCCTGTGAGTGTTAAATTTTCCAAACTGTCTTTCCTCATTATGTCTCCAAGAAATTTCAGCTTCCTCTTCCTGAGTATGATCATAAATCTTTTTATTATTATTAATTTTTTTATTATTTTCTTTGATTTCTGGCGTTCACACATTTCTTTCCGGGTCCCGCCCAGGGACCTAAGGTTAGAAATGGCATCATGACACTTTACACTGAGAAAAAAAAAAATTACATAGATAAAGCCCTTCGTAAAGTGTGGGCTGTACTTGTCAGAACATTTTTTGTATCTCTTTGAGGCAGGGTCTTCCAGGGATCCCTTCAATAATCTACTGCAATCTTTTCCAACCAGTCCTAGGGCTCCAACTACAACAGGGATTGTTGATGTTCCCATATGCCACATTTTTGAGATTTCTATTTCAAGGTCCTTGTATTTTGACAGCTTTTTGAATATCTTCAAAGATACATTGCAGTCAGCAGGGACTGCCATATCAACATGGAGGCACCGTTTTTGTTTGTGGTCTCTTTATTATTATTATTATTATTATTATTATTACCATCTTTTTTCAAGAAATGGAACTCTATAGAACCAACTTTCTGCTGCCTCCAATTTTCTTTTCATCCATAGGGAGATTGTTCAGCATTCACTGCCATATTAGATTATGGATATCACATAGCAATCTAACATTCTTTTCTTTGTTTCTAAAGATTTCTGTTTGTTTTTCAGTAGATTGTTTGTCTTTTGTAATGCCTCCTTCGCTAGTCCATTGTCTGTTCAGGTTGTCGTGTCTCCTTTTCCATCTTCTGTTAAAACAGTTCTCAGATATTTCACTCCTTGTACTTCATGTTGACATCTTCAATTTGTAACTCGCATCTTCAGCTTTTTCTCTAGCTGATGACCACAGTTTCTGTCTTCTTGCAGTTAATAGTTAGTCCTTTTTTATGCATCCTAAATTTAAACCACGAAATTCTGCGGAAAAATCACTTGTGTATAAGACGAACTGAATTCTTGGAATATGTTCAATATTTTACCTGCGTCGTATCGACTAAAAACAAGAATATATTTATAGTTTATATTATGTTTTGAAACACTAACTTTACAAAGTATTTACATCAAACGCAGAGACATGTTAACAGAAAAATGCAACAAGTTCGCGGCGAAAATAGAGTCACGCTTGGAAAAACAAAATTATTAACACCCATTCCCATGGCTAGTGGTTGTTTGTGTGCGACGTAAAACAAATTCGGTCATTACTGCTTCGTCTTCGCACGACATATAAAAGAACGGAAAAAACTTCTGCCGATTTATCGGTCACCAATTATGACACGTATCCGCTCATAGCTTTCCCCGCTAAACATTATCACAAACCAAATTCCCTACTCACGCGTGACTGCCTATTATTTTGACCATGATACCTGAGCGATTATCTTACAAGATCGTAGAAAAAAAAAAACTGAAGACCGTCTTATATTCTGAAGAAAATTGGAACCGGACAGCTGGTATTATGTTTGGATCTTCTGACCCTGGTTCAAAAAAAAAAAAGTGTTCCCGCTTCAGCCATGAAGAAATCGAAGACGGTAGACAGATAGAAATCAATAGCATTTTCGAAGTTAAAAGAAAAGACAATTGGATGGGTGAAGGAACGCATAATTTCTTTTCTTTTTTTTTAATCAATTAACCCCAAGTAAGGAGATAATGCCACTAAAATGCAAGGGGCCTACTGGGAGTGAAAGAGAATGAAAAGATTTTAGAACGAACCGGAGACCTAGTCCTCAATAGAAAACAAGAGATAAACCTCTACACCTGCTCAAATGACCGGCGATGAATTTTGAACCGGGCGATAGGCGAACTTATCTGCACATATAAATGGCCGAGATTGGATTAGAATTAACAAAACTGACATGTGACTCAATTTATTGGAAAGCTCAAAGACGATGCAAGAAATGCTAGAAAATATAATGGCCAGTGATGGGTGGTGTTGGACTGCAGTGAAGCTGATGAATATGGACTTAATATATTTGTGGATAATTTTTGTTTTCAAAAAACAAATTCCGTGTTTGGTGAGTGATTTAAACGCTTTGTTACATATTAGCTTACTTAATCCATGGATATAACATGTTTTCGGTCACACTGTCGTGAATATATGGTATCGCACGAGACAGGAGAAAAGTTAATAACAATCTAATCACTAGGCGTGTATAATACGCACATATAACTTTCTGGCTTTAAAATTTTGAAAACAAAATCCGTTATTGTACAAGAATAGTCACAATAGACAGATAGATAGATAGATAGATAGATAGATAGATAGATAGAAGGATAATAATTTTTTGTTTCCATGAATGATATATAGTATATCAATAATATATAGAATTTAATAAATAAATTAGCGTGTAAAAGATTTCAGAAGGCTTTTTAAATGTCACCCTAAAACTGAATCAATACACACACACACACACACACACACACACACACACACACACACACATATATATATATATATATATATATATATATATATATATATATATATATATAGTGAGTTCAATTCAGTCAGAATCCATTACATTCACTTACATGCTAATACCATTGGGAAAGGTATGAATCCTCATCTTCTACCCCCACCCCAGATAAGGGCAAATAGCAAAACAGACCGGCAACTGGTCTATCAGAAATAAATTGCAGCCTACTGCGGGAAAAACATCCGTCTCGTCAGTCATGTATCGAAAGGTACATGATCGCCTAAGCGTATATCACGCATGGCACATAACTGACTGATATATATATATATATATATATATATATATATATATATATATATATGTATATGTGTGTGTATGTGTGTGTGTGTGTATGTGCGCGCGCGCGTGTGTCTGTGTGTGTGTGTGTGTGTGTGTGTGTGTGTGTGTACGTGCGATACTCTGCAGGGAAATTAAAATTTCGAAATTTGTGGATGTGGTAGGAACAGATTACAATGTATAAATAGAATAATTTTTAAGACAACGACTAAATTTATGAGTAAATTCGAATCGTTTTTTTTTTTCGGTTCTTTATCAGCTGAAATCGCATAAATACGAGACTTTGCAACAGGTTGTGCTAAGTCAAGTAAAATATGACGGCTCGTCTACAGCAATTTATACTAAAAGGAAAAGAGGTCGCTAGAGATCAAAAAGCTCGTCGACAAGCGAAACTTCTTGTCACCTTCTGTAAGACAATATCGCACGTACTTCCTTGTCTTTTGTAAACTGTGAGTAACAATATTTACGAAAATGTATGAACTTTCTCTATGTCAAGCAAACGTTCAATTTCTACGAACATTTAAAATAACAAGATTATTTTCTATGAAAAAATCCAAAGTCCCGTAACCCATTTTGCGGCGTACCTGTACCATACTAAAACCGTAGCAACAGTGGGTATATTTCTATACTGTTAAAAAAAAAAACTGAGGAGGGTGTGAACCGGGCGATAGGGAACATATTTATTCCTCTTGAAGAAAAATAGATAAATACTAAATAGAATTTCAGATTTTAAACAGAAATATAGAGTGGGAGTAGAATTTAGAAGGAACCGGAAACTCAATCCTAAACAGGAAACAAGGGATAAACCCCTACCCCTGTTCAAAAGACCAGATTGGAGTGTGAACCTGACGGAAGGCAAACCTATACTTAATAGCTCTGTTTTCTTACATCGAGCAATGTTATATTTACAGGGATTTAAAAAAAATAAATATTCAGGCAGTTATGTGCTACGCGTGATACCCACTTAGGCGATCATGTATCTATCGATACATGAGTGACGAGGCAGATTTTTGCCGCAGTAGGTTGTCATTTCTTTCTGCGGTAGACCATTTGCCATCCAAGGCTATATAAGCCGGTCTGTCCTGCTATTTACCCATAGCTGGGGGAAAAGAAGAGGATTCATGCCTTTCCCAAGGAACGGATTCAACTGGAATTCGAACATTACTCTTCGATTGCTCAGTCCGAGCCACTATCCATTACTCCACCGTGCCTAAATATTATTGATGAAAAATAAATAGTAAATTTTAAACAGAGACGTATAGGGTGGAAGTAAAATTTAGAAGGACCCATTCCTCTTAAGGTTTCTTTTGAATTCAGAGTCGGCATTCTCTTAAACTGGTTGCCACCTAATGCTAGAGGATCCAGTCTGTCCTGCTATATAACCATATATGCGAGGAGAGATGGATTCATGTCGTTCCTAAGAGCATTAAAAATGGCTTCGAGTGTATGAAGCGTGTAGGTTCTAGCGAGGATCATCTTTCTTCGAATATTGTGGACTGGCACTACAAAGCCGTAACAAATAACAAAAATCGAATCAGTTAAGGACTTTCAACAGCAGCAACAAATAAAATGGATAGTACATGTGGCTGAAAAAGAAAATAAGGCCATAATCAAGAGGATGATGGTCCACAATACTTTAACCAAACGGTTTTCGAAGGAATCACCCATTGATACTGGGAAGAGCGATAACAGTGATTGGATTTGAGAAATCTATTTTCCTGAAAATTTGTTTTAATAGAAAGATTTTATAAATTTCAACTGGCAGTGGCTTTTCTGCCAATGAATGCTGAATGCTATCATATGAGGAAACGGCTAATATTATTGACTGTGTGAAATTAAGCGCAATATAGACTATCCCGTAATTTGAACTCGGCTCCCTGATACCACTTTCCCCGTCGATATTTGTTACTTCATCCACACATCCACAAACACAAGTTACATTTACATACAAGAATTTTGTTACAAAAATGTAAATAAATTGAAGTTTTAAATTTACTACAATTATTTGAAGTTAATTATTAGTCTAAAAGATGAGGAAATTGAATAAAGAATAGGTTCTGTTGATTTCGCCCAATACTGCACATTTGCTATTAAACGCAACCATCAAGCTGAAACTCGTGTCATGTTCTTAAATAACCTCGTCAGATCGAGGCGTTCATATTTTGATGCCATGTAAGGCACCATATCCGTTCGAAAATATCTAAACTGTCAGCTGTATACAATTACTTT